CTCAGACAAACTTTTTAAATTGATTGTTTTTATTTAGTGCCAGTGCTCATGGACGCTTTACAAACAGTAGGAGAACAAGAAACGCAATAACCTTAAGAAGGTAGAGAAAATGGGAGACTATTAAAACAGAAAAAGAATGACACGAGAACAAGTATAAAAGAAACTCATTCCTATCTTTAAATAAGTGCTTATGTGGATTTAGAAGAACTAGGCAGCACACCCAGGGCTGCAAGATGGATTTAATTTAGTATTCTTATCATTAAAATATATCTAAATGAGGATCAAATGACTGAGTTGGTGTTTGAGAGTGAAAACCAACCTGTTTGTTCCTGCTTGACTCTGAATGTTTCTTCAATCTTCACATCTTCACTCTCCTCTTTAATAAGCGCCATCTTTATAACAGTGTGGAGATCAGTCGCTTCAGCAGGAGATTTCCTCTGTGTTTGGACACTTTATTCTGTTTAAAATGAACAAAACAATGAACAGAAACAAACTTATCTTTAACATTTGCTTTAACAGTTTCTTTATATGAGAGTAATTAACAAAAACAAATCAGGTAAGTCTGAGCAAGAAACAATAGCCACAAATGAGCTGATTAAAACTAGTGACGTAACTACATGTCAGGATAAAAACAATATTTATAACCAAATAAACAAACAAACAAAAAACTGAATAGTTGTAAAGAAGCTTTTAAATTTGACTGAAGAACTTAATACAATGTTGAACAATGCATCCACACATATTTACATTTTATAATGTTAGCATTCAGATATTATTTGAGTGTAAATTCAAAATGTGCAACTCACCTTTTCTGTCTTCAATGAAGAAGTGGGATAAAAAAGGCCTCCGTGGGTTTTTCTTTGTAGGTTGTTGTTGGTAATAATCCCAATGTAGGAATCTACAATCGTAGTTTGTCCTCCAAAGTTGTTCTCTTACAGCTAAATCAGATAATGAAGCCTCCGTTAGGAACACGGAATATATAGATGCAACCCTGCTGAGCTACTGGATCTGGAATGTGATTGGATAAGACTCAATTGGCCCCCATTAAAGCTGGTATAGAGATGCAAATGAAATGAGCAGTGAAGACTCAGGACACATACAGTGGGGGATGGGAAGTTTAGCAGCTTTACAAACCAGTTTTACAGAGAAATAATGATGTATTGGGAAAATAAGTTGGCTTTAGCCATCATCATTTGTTTTGTTGCTGTTGTTTTATAGGACTATTGATGGAAGCTTTTTTATTGTGGCTGCTGCATTTTGTAGTTAATGCTGATACACTTATGTTGAGGTACTTTGATTTGAAACTCATTTTATTGTTTTTTTTTTCCCAAGCTGTTTTTTGTTTAAAGATGCAAATGAGCATTGAAGACTTAAATCACACTGATATCTCAACACACACAACTACATTCACTTATATAATAGTTATGTAAGTGATACTATTGTACTGTGATATATCATTATTTGTTAATAGAAACAATTTCTAATCTTCACAGTGAGGTTTTATTTGTGTCAAGTTCAGTCAATATATTAATATTAGCAATGTTTTAGTCATTTATTTATCACTGAACTTGTTCTTTATGTGAGTTTAGAGTCCTTTACTTCTCCTAAAGCACATGCAGCTCATTACTGCTTCCTGTAAACTGTCAACACACTCTTAACAGATCAATTATTTCTTTCCAAATGTGTCTATAAATTTTTATGATCAAAATGTAACTTGTTTCTGTGCCATTTTTTTTTTCTTTCCTTCGTTTTTTTACTTAAACAGAACATGTGTGAGCAGCTCATCTTTCTCGAAAGCCTCTTATTCACCTGATATGTAACAAAGATGTTTTTCTCTCTAATTATCAGTTGTGTTTGTGCATACAAATATGCATAGACATTCACAAAAGAATATATAAGATACTCTGTGACAAAACCTTTTTTAACACAGTAACGCGATCACATACTGTCTATTTTTTGCTACTTTTGGCCTTAGAAGATAATTGTTTGTACATTAATCACAAATGGATGAGACACACTGTAACTTCAAACTCATTTGTGTTAATTCCAGGTGCTGTGAAATGTTATGTACAAGCTGCAGAGGCAATCAGGTGTGAGTAAAGTGCCATATATCTGATCCAGTCCTCCAGCATCTTTTTTGCTTCAAATTAAAGTCTTTTACACTAAAATCATTATGAAGTTGCTCTTTTGTTGCTAATAATTGATTTATATTATCTGAAATATAACTAATTCTATTATATAGCTTTTTCTCTTAACCAGGAGAAGGAGGGAAAATGCACTCTCTCACTCAATGCAGTCGAATCAATGCGCAAAAAACAACATATTTAAGGTTACCAAGACACATATCACAGCAAGAGAGATCTGTTATGGTACAGGCACAAATCAAGCGACACAAAGAAACCAAGAAAGCAACTTTTAATCAGAAACTTTATATATATATATATATATATATATATATATATATATATATATATATATATATATATATATATATATATATATATATATATATATAATTTATTCATTTTCTTGTCGGCTTAGTCCCTTTACTAATCTGGGGTCGCCACAGCGGAATGAACCGCCAACTTAACCAGCAAGTTTTTACACAGCGGATGCCCTTCCAGCCGCAACCCATCTCTGGGAAACATCCACACACACACACTCATACACTACAGACAATTTAGCCTACCCAATTCACCTGTACCGCATGTCTTTGGACTGTGGGGGAAACCGTAGTACCCGGAGGAAACCCACGGAAAAGCAGGGAGAACATGCAAACTCCACACAGAAACGCCTGTTGCTATACATATATATAGCAGCTGGGCATAGTTAATCTGAAAGCAAGTTGGGCCGCGCTCACACGAGTGTTTGTTCTTGCAAAATTCTTTCGTACAGCGCTGCAAAAAAGGGTGGGATAAAACAATATGATTAGACGTTACTAAAAGCGACTGATTGCTCCATATAGCCCATGTTTTGATCTTCTATTGGTCTTATGCACTCACGTGATGCGATGTCAAGCTTTTGTCTTACCTTTGTGGAGTCCACTATTAAATCTGTCATGCAGCTATATATTTATAATTAGAAAATAATTACATCACAAGTTAAATTATTGTATAGGGAGTTTATACTGGGTAATTCAATGACAAGAGTTCTCTTTCATATCTACACAATGCATAACTTTTAATGTGATTAACCTGCTCCACCAACACCAACTACAGCATTTCTCAGACTTCTGTTTCACTATGGTGTAATCACAGTGGTGAACGTCACATACAACAACAACTGCACTTAATCCTGTAACTTGTTTGCAACAATGAAATTTAAATATCTGTGTCACAGATTCATTTAAATAAATGACTCATCATCATGTGCAGTCGTCTTTATTAATAGCTGCCTAATAGTCCAGACCATTAACTGAATAGGACCGTTTTACATATATGAAACCTGTTAACAGGTATAGCTGTTCATCCCAATACCAACTTGATAGCCTAAAGCAAATTACATGAATAGGACCTGCCTAACATCTCTTAAGACAAATAAGCAAAGGTGTCTATAACAATACATGCTTGATTGCCCAGATCATTACATCTGAATGGTGCCTTTTAGTAAGCATAGTTCTTCACCAATACCAGTTTAATACCTCAAACAATTACACATATGTGAGGTTTCACAGTGTTGCAGTGGGTAGCACGATTGCCTCACAGCAAGAAGGTTGCTGGTTCGAGCCTCAACTGGGTCAGTTGGCATTTCTATGTGGAGTTTGCATGTTCTTGCTGTGTTTGTGTGAGTTTCCTCCGGATGCTCTGGTTTTCACAAAGTTCATAGACATGCGGTGTGTGTGAATGAGTTTGTATGCATGTTTCCCAGTAACGGGTTGCAGCTGGAAGGGCATCCGCTGTGTAAAGCATGTGCTGCTGGATAAGTTGGCAGTTCATTCCACTATGGTGACCCCTGATTAATAAAAGGACTAAGCTATAAAGAAAATGAATGAATATATGAGTAATATCACACGAGTATCAGTTTCTGTATTTCTATTTGTTGTAATGAACAGTTGTTGTTGCAATAAAAAATTAATAAATAAATTTAAAAAAAGCAGTGCGATGTGGCTCTCGAGAACATTTTGAGTGCCAGAAAATGTTGAAAAAAGCAGCTATGTCCAAAGTAGGAGCTGTTAAACCATGTAGTGGCTGCTTCTTGACCCTGTAGCCTATTCTCTTCATTTGCATTCAGCAGAAGAAACTCAAACAGGTAAAAATGTTTTTTTTTTTTTTATGTGAACTACCCCTTTAATGCTTCTGTAAGTAAAGGTAAATGAAATATTATTACTGAAGATATTGCTAAAGAATGGCAGAAAACGTGGAACACAGCTAATAAGAGATGACAATTCATTTGAAACAATAATAAACACTATATAGGCCTATAAAGTTGTAAAAATAGAAAAGAAAATAAGGGGTCATAATTATGAGGATGAGATTTGGACTCAGATATTAATAGGAAGTAATGTGTTGTAGACATGCAAGCCATCATGAACTGGATTAAAAAAAGTTTCTCAAAATTGTCTTAAAATGTTTAGATTAAAAAATTTGATCAACTTTAAATACTAAAGTGTGTGTTTGTGAGAGAGATCTAATCTATTTTAATTTTTATTAATATTTTTTATTTTACCAATCTTTTTATTTTTATTAATCTATTTTTATTTTATTTATTTCTGTGTTTTTTCTGTATTATATTTTATATCCATATTTGTTTGCACTACTGTCTTGTTTGTACGTATGCAATATAAATGTACAGTTATTTGTCATGCCAATAAAGCACCTAAAATGTGAAATGTGAGAGAGAGAGAGAGAGAGAGATAGCAGAAATAGTATAGAGTGAAAAACAAGGGAGAAATGTATCAATAAGTCATGACTGCAACAGTAAGGGGCAAAAAAGCTAAACAAAAAAGACTTTTATTTTGGCGTGGTGTGTGACGTCATCAGGTGGCGCCGCTTCAGCGCTTTGATTCAACTGGAGAAAGGTTTGTGTTTTTAAATGTTTACGGATATAAGCCGATTTAATTAAAGTTTCAGGTTTTTCATCCGATGCTAAATTATGTACCTGCTGTTGGAAATATTATTTAAACCATTTATACAGCGTAGTACTATTTTATTCCCAGTAACCGAGGGCTTTTGTTTGAAACAGAAAAGTGTGTAATGCGAGCTTTAAAATAGAGGTATTGTTGGTTTTATATTCACACATTTGTTCATTTATAGACTCTATATTGTTTACCATGTTACTTTGAATATTTGATCTGAATTAGCATGCAAGTGTGACTTGAAAACAACATTAACACTGTTTATTTGACCATGAGAAATGTTGTACTTTGATAGTCATTGGCTGCTAATATGATTTCACTATTTAGAGTTTGCAAATAATACTTTTATGAAATTATATTATTAAGGGGAAAGTCTGAATGTGCAAATATAAAACCAACTTTACCTATATCTATACCTCTACCTTTATCTATAATGCCAGTAACCTGCGACCCCCCCCCCCCCCACATTCATTTATTTAGCAGTCTCTGTATTGTTTACCATGTTACTGAAAATATTCTGTCAGAATTAGCATGCAAGTATGACTTCTAAACAACATTAGCACTATCTAATTGACTGTAAACAATGCTGTCCTTTGGTAATTATTAGCTGCTAATATGATTTCCATATTTAGAGTTTGCAAAGATTACTTTTAGGAAATTTTATTATTAAGGAGAATGTCTGAATACCCAAATATAAAACTAACTTTACCTCAATTATGTATAGAAGTAAAGTTAGTTTTATATTCAGATATTCAGACATTCCCCTTAATAATATAGTTTCAGAAATTATTCATTGCAAATTCTAAATAGGGAAATCATAATAGCAGCAAATGACTATCAAAGTACAACATTGTTCACAGTCAAATAAACAGTGTTAATGTTGTTTTCAAGTCACACTTGCATGCTAATTCCGATCGAATATTCAAAGTAACATGGTAAACAATATAGAGACTTCTAAATGAACGAATGTGTGAATATAAAACCAACTTTACCTCCATGACCCCTCAGGGGGTCCCGACCCTCACTTTGAGAACCACTGTTTTAAAGAAACGTTTTACCTGATTTGTTTTTGTTAATTACTCAGTATACATTAATAGAATCTATACATTAATAGAAACTGTTGAAGCAAGTGTTGAAGAGAAGTTATTTTGTTTCTGTTCATTGTTTTATTTATTTTAAGCAGAACATTTTTATTGTTTTGTTCATTTTAAACAGGATAAAGTGTCCAAACACAGAGAAAAACTCCTGCTGAAGTGACTGATCTCCACACTGTTATAAAGATGGCGTTTATTAAAGAGGAGAGTGAAGATGTGAAGATTGAAGAAACATTCACAGTCAAACAGGAAGATCTGCAGGAACAAACAGGTTGAATTTCATTCTCAAACACCAACTCAGTCATTTGATCTTCATTCAGATATATTTTAATAATAAGAATACTAAATTAAATCCATCTTGCAAACCTGAGTGTGCTGCCTAGTTCTCCTAAACGCACATAAGCACTTATTGAAAGACCGAAATAAGTTTCTTTTGTCTCTTGTTCTCAGGTCTTTTGTCTTTCTTTTATGTATTATTAGTCTCCCATTTTCTCTACCTGCTTAAGGTTATTGCTTTTCTTGTTCTTCTACTGTTTGTAAAGCGTCCTTAAGCACTGGCGCTTTATTAAATAAATAAATACAATCAATTTAAAAAGGTTTAACTAAGCTGGTGATATTTGACCTACAGTATTCTCATAGAAGACTCTAAATTTTAAGCCTTAAAAACTCTTCAATTTACAGACATATTGTGTTGTAGGTCTTAAATCTTTTTTAAACAAGTCTACATGTTCCTTTGTTCATGTTTTGTTACCCAATCTGGCCAAAACCCACACAATCAACAAGAATCCACCTTAATAAATCTTTAAACTTTTTATTAAAAAAGGTAATTTTCACTCTAATTTATCTGTTTTAATTATTTTCCTTACAATAACATTTGTTTAAATGTGCTCCATGTATTTACTGCTGAGGACATCGACCTGGACAGATTGTTGTGCATAGATTTGGTTTATTGTAGTTTTTTAACTTTTAAAACATTTGTCCAGTTTTTATTATTATAAAGAACATTTATGTTTGAATACAAGTAAAGCTTGCTTGTTTTTACACAATATTTAATTTTTTTTCAAAGAAATATCTAAAATAATTAAAAAATATTATTAATTTATTATTGTATTATTAAATGTTTTAACTTATAATATTTCTTTGGACGGGGCAAATAAAAATCTTTTTTCATCTGGGCCATTTGAAAAGTTATTTAGCCTTTAGACCTTCATGAGCCTAAAATTTCATTCATAATGGTCCTAAAAATGTCATAAAAAGTCTTAAATTTAACTTGGTAAAACCTGCAGAAACACTGGTTTAAAGTATGTCAAAAATTGTGTATACCCCCAGTATTAATACGCTGAATGAAATGGACACTTAAGTGATTAGTTATAAAACATTGAACAGTCTGAGAATATTGACCATATTCTTTATGCACCAGTTGGCGGCGCCATTGGAATCTTTTTGCTTGAGACTTTTTTAAAGAATTAATTTTTAGATCCTAAAATCAGAGTTATGCTCTTTAGGCATGGGGCGATAACCATGTTCAAGGTTTACTGCAGTTTGGAAAAGTCAAGGTTTTAAAACTGCCAAACATTTTCTGCTGTACCTTTTTTTTTGTAAAGTTTTTTTAGGACAACAGTATCTCCTGCAGAAAAGATATTCAAAGATGCCGTTTTAAATCGTAAAGAAATCTGTGATTCATTTGAATGGTTTAGCCTGACATGTTTACTGCTCCAAAATATTTTATAAGTTTCTGAGAAGAAAATTTATTTTAGGTTATCATACCGTCAGAATCTTATACTGGCCCATGCCTAATGCTGCTTGATGTTGCAAAGTCATATTTTCTCATTTTATTATTTTTCTTTGTGTGTATAGTCATGAACACACTTGTTTGTTGAGCAAGTAGTGTGACTGTTTTCTGCAGGTTATTATTCCTGATCATTTCCCCAATAGAAAACTGAAGTTCTAAAACAAAAGCATGAGATTAGGTCACAACTCTGTCATGATTGACAATTGTTGCTGTTTGTCATTGTGCTCTGTTAATCCTGAGAGCGGATGCTAAGTATTTTTAGGGCTTTTCACACTTTAAATTGTTAACCCTGGGTCATTTTAACCCTGGATGAAGAGAATCCGGGGTTATCTGTAATCACGTTCCACACTGCTCATGCTATACCAGGGCTCTGTTCCATTTACCAAGCTTAGAGAAAAAGTCAGGCTTATTTTGGATATGTCAGGTTTATTAATGGCTGAATCAGTTTCATAAATCAAATCTACGATATTTCAAACTCAGTTACTCTGGCAACTCTGCTGGGAAACCTTGTCCAGGGCAGGTTAACTCTCAGGCTAAGTCTTAATTTCTTGCTTAATCAAAGTAATGTTGACATTCACCTGCTGTAATTTGATGCCATTTTAATTCACTGTATAGGCACTTAATAGTAAAGGTATATATTAGGGCTGAAACTGATGATTATTTTAATAATCGATTAATCTGTCGATAATTTTTTTGATAAATTGATGAATCGGATATAAAAAAAAAAACAAGAAAAGCATTCATTTCCAACCCTATATCCAAAAAAGCTCACCTTTGAGCTGTTATAATATTATTAATAATAACAATAATAAAAATAAAAACTTACTAGTTTTGTCCTGTTTTCAATTCAAATATGTAAATTTTTAGGTAGATTTATACAAGACACATGAAATAGCATAAAAAATTATGTCTTGTTTTCTGAAAAAGAAATACACCTAAAAATGAAGTGATTGTTTGCTTAAAACAAGTTAAATTATTTGCTAATTGTGTAAAAAAATAATCTTAATGAGATATAATCTCAAACAGAAGTTTTAAGCATCACTCATTCTCTCATGCCATTTTTCTTGTCCAGTGTTGATTTAGGATTTTTTAGATATTTGGACTGGAAACGAGACTAAATGACTAAGAAAGAAAAGCTTTTTTGCAGTGCAGCTATACATGACAACAGATTAAACGAATGATCTAACAAAGGTGAGTGAATAAAAACGTGTCTTTAGTCTTGCAATGCAAAGTAACTATACCATGCTTTACTACTGTTATTCAGGGCTCAAAGTATTCTGGCACCATGCCGGATCTCCGGCGTGCGGCCGTGAGGGAAAAAAAATTCAGAGCCTGCACATGCGGTTTAATTATAGGGATGCTCAAAATAACCGATTAACCATTAACCGAAAGAGTGCGTTTGTAACCGATTAATGGAATCAGTTAAACGATTAAAAAATATACTTTATATATTTTTTAAGTTTGGCTGCATAAGGGGCATCTGTTAAATGGTTTACTAACGACCGCGAGTGTTTTGCTGTTGCGTGCTGTGTGCTCGAGCGGGACAAAGCGTGTTACCTCAGTCTCGTCTTTTTTAATCTTTAATCAAATGAAAGCACTGCAGGGTTTCTGTTAAGTGACAGCCGTGTTTGGGTTGTCAAGGTGACTATGGCAAACTTTTAATTATGAAGGAGACTTGTGGTCGCTGTTACATCCAGAGCTGTATTACTTTACAGATCTTGAATATGACAGCAACACGACTCGCGCACACCAGCAGATTCAGTCATTTTCCAGTGACATAAAAAAGAGTGCCGGGCTTCTTTTTTTGTCACAAATGTTGCCAAGGACTACATTTATGAATATAATGTTAAAGGCGATTCAGCGAGTTCAAATTCAGCCATGAAACTCGTTGGAAAACCTGTTTAATTGCCAATTTGGGAACATTTTGGATACGTGCCAAACGAGAAAGGCGAACCAATAATTTGGATGAAGCTATTTGTAGGGCTTGTTTTTTTATTTTATTTAAAAAATAAAATAAATAAATAAATAAATAGATAAATAAATAAATAAATAAATGAAACACCTTACGGATAGGATGCAACAAAGAAAAAGCAAGTTTTTAATCATTCTTCATAATCTGATTCATAGCCTACATGTAATAAACCCATATTGCGCAAACAAGAACAAGCTCTAAAAGGTAAAAGTTTAAAGTGAGAGGAGTTATTGATATGATATTAATATTAGTTGTATTATTAGTCTCCCTTTTCTCTACCTTCTTAAGGTTTTTGCTTTTCTTGTTTTTTTACTGTCTGTAAAGCGTCCTTGAGCACTGGTGCCATATAAAACAAACAAAAAACAATAAAAACATTTGTAGCATATTATATTTATATCTTCATCTTTTCTATCTTTTGTGTGGGGTTTGTAAAAGCCTTGCTCTTGTCTCGTGCAGGTCTTCATCACATTGTCTGTAGTTGCAACTTTCATTTTTTCTGTCTCCTCATAAACTCAGAGTCTTCTTTTAAAATCTGTAAACGTGACATCGTCTTCATTTTGTGTTACGTGGATGGCCAGTGGCTTAAATCCGGTAGTCCTCGGAGAATCATCACTAAGGTTTGTCCATCACTCGTTAATTCTCTAGCATTCCTTAGAGCTGTAATGTTGTTTTCTGCTCGTATCAAATAGTCTGTAACGCTCTCACTGTCACTCATGTGCAGCTGAGTCAATGCTGTGTACATGTTTATTATGCGTGGTTTACTTTTGCCGGAATAATGCTCTTTCAGTATTTTAGGGCTTTTCTCCCGTCATCGGCAGCATCGTGTCTACCAGTTTTTTATCATCAATCAGTCTTATCAGTTCAGCATAACAATCAGTGTTCTTCCGTCTGTCCTCGGCTAGTTGTTCTGCTTCAGCATCAGTAGGCTGATGCAATATAGTTTCTTAGTTTCAGAGTGTGTAAATATCCTAGAAGTCTCGTCTCCCATAGCTCAAATGATAGATCCATCGAACAGAAACTGCGGCGCTAGATATCCTCCCGCTCTGCTTACCATCTTTGCTAACTTTGCACCTGAATACGTTGTGTTAACTTCGCTCTCTTAAAAACGATCGCTTGTCTCGCTGCCTGGGCCCATAACCTGTTGAGCTTGGAGAGCCGTAGCTTAAGCACTAGACAGAACGAATCGTTTTATCAGCGTCTTTTATTACTCACTTTCACATGCTGTCTCTGTACAGCATGAACACGAGACGGTAACACTTCTGTTTATCAACAGTATAACGTGGAGACGTTAAGCACGTAAACAACATGACGTCATCACTACAGTAACGTAATACACTGAAGTATAATTATGAACCCTTCAGTGATTAATATTAATACAATGAGTAAGAGTGCCAGTACTTATATAATATAATCCATAATAGACATAGTGGAGAAAACTCGCACCAAAGGCACACTCGTGTCTGGATCCAATATTATTGCTTAAACAGATAAGAGGAGAGGAAATTCAGCACAACAGGTCAAATGTACAAAGTGAGAGAGAGGCAGAGATGAAGTTTTACAGCATTTCTCCGTATAGTGAAATATTGGCTCGTGTGCTGTGCAGCCTTCAATTGCCTTCGCCTCCGTCCTAGTATTGCGACATTGCGCATAGGAGATGAATGACGTCAGTACGTAATAACCGGTTATGATCTATTACTAAACCAATATCAATCATTTTGACACCCCTAGTAATGAGTAACAGCGTATGCAGAGTATGCAGCACATTAAAAGTTTATCGGAGTTAAAGTATTAAACTCATCGAAAATATGTACTGAAGTAAAAGTGTAAGTTTAAGTGTAAGTAAGACGTTTTTTTCTCGCGTTTACCGTCGACGTTTAACGCCTCGTGACTAAATAAAGGGCGTCAATGTGATTGTGCACACCAACGCGCAAAACGCCCGGCGCAAAAGCGTCATTTTTAAAAAAAACGCCTCATGCTCGTTTTTTTTGTTTTGATGCGCGGCGTCAAAACCTTCTCCACCAATCAGATCTGCACTTTAGTTCATGTGCACGGAGCTGCTGAAGTTATCGTAAACAGCACTTGGAGGCGCTCAAGCACAAAACTGTCAATGTGAGCGCACATTGAAGAAGATGCCCAGAGGCGATATGAAAGTGGAGCTGCTTATTGCTCTTGTGAACACTAATCATTTCTTCATCGCTAGAGCTGGAGCTGCTGCTTGAACCATCGATGCTTGTTCGAGTCACCAGTAAATTTAGCAACAAGCGTGTGAACGGGTGTCAGAAGCTTATAGTTGTGTAGCGCCATCTAACGTCAAAAGAGTGATTTAGCATCCTCGTCTGCTTGACGCCAGTAAAAAGCGCTTGGGTTTGAACACTGAAAAACGTCTCGTAAAACGCTGACGATAAACGCAAACTAAAAACGTCCCGGTGTGTATGAGCCTTTAGTCATCTTCCTCTCATTTAGATCCTCTCCCCACTGTTCTGGTTAAAGCCTGTCTCCCTTCCCTCATTCCTCTCATTTCAGCCTTTATTCACTCTTCTCTTTCTACTGGAACTGTTCCTGCTTCCTTTAAAACGGCAGCAATTACTCCAATACTCAAAAAACCGGGTTCAGACCCATCTAATTTTAATAATTTACGACCTATTTCTAATCTACCATTTATTTCTAAAATCCTTATCTCAGAACAACCTGTATGAACAGTTCCAGTCTGGTTTCCGCCCACTCCACAGCACAGAAACTGCCCTGATTAAAATAACCAATGACCTTATTATGGCAGCTGATTCTGGACTAATATCTATTCTCATTCTCCTCGACCTGAGTGCGGCCTTTGACACTATTTGTCACAGCACCCTCATCACTAGACTATCCACTCTTGGCATCACCAATACCCCACTTGATGGGTTTAAATCTTATCTCTGTGGCCACAGCTCATTCAACTCAAATCATTCACTTCTCAGCATTTTACAGTATCTTCAGGTGTTCCCCAGGGCTCAATCCTGGGGCCCCTACTTTTTATCATCTATCTCCTTCCATTTGGTAATATTCTCCGTAAATATAACATACATTTTCACTGCTATGAGGATGACACCCAGCTCTATCTCTCTGGCAAACCCTCTTCTTGTTTTCCACCTACATCCCTTACAGTCTGCTTAGCAAAAATCAAGTCCTGGCTCTCTCTTAACTTCCTCAAACTAAATAGTTCAAAACTGAGGTTTTGCTTCTTGGTACCAAACCAACACTCTCCAAAACGGACAGCTTTTCTCTTTTAATTGACGATTGTTCCATCTATCCCTCTAAACAAGTTAAGAGTCTGGGTGTCATCCTTGACAGCACCCTATCTTTTGATTCTCACATCAATAACATCACCCGGTCTGCTTACTTCCACCTATGCAACATCAACCGACTCCGCCCTTCTCTTACCCCTCATGTCACTGCTGTTCTAGTTCATAGCCTTGTCACATCTCGTTTAGATAACTGCAACTCTCTCTTCTCTTTGGTCTCACTCATAAATCTCTCCGTAAGCTTCAGTTGGTCCAGAACTCAGCTGCCCGTATCATCACCTTTATGCAGATGCTGTACAGGTATGTCTCATGTTTGAGAGGTAAATATTCAGCTGTTTGTTCGGCTGTTACCTCAGAACTTTTTTTCTGATGCGTTTACCGGTCAGGCACAGAATAAACAAGTATTCCCTGTCTACTTTACAAATGTTAGAAAAACATGTAATTATGAATACAAATAAAAAGAGGCCATTTACAGCTTTCAAATGTGTGTCTTATTAATATGACCAAAATTACTTTTATGAGAAACTTGGAAAACTCAACTGACACGGTTTCAATGTACTATAACTTCTATGTCAGGGGTTTTCAAAGTGTGAGGCGCGCCTCCCCTGGGGGGCGCCAGAGCATGTCAGGGGAGGCGCGGGAAAAAATATAATAAAAATATAATTATTAAGTTTAATTATTATATGTATTTTTTATTATATTTAAACGTTTTAATTAAACAAAGCAAAAAATACATAAATAAATAATACGTCAAATATAAGAAAACCTTTTTTTACCCAGAAGGCCATAGCTGTGAATTCGTTTCTGTTTGGCAAGCCCGCCAATACAGGTATATGCCTGCTAATACAATGGGTCGGTTTCTGAGACCCCCCCGATTCAAAGCTGTAATGAAGTTCACAGCCCTTTGGCCGCCGGGAAGAAGGAGGCGGAGAACTGACGCAGTTTTAAAATGATTTATTAATAACAGTGACGGCAGCTCCTCACGGAGGCTGCCGTCTAAACCAAAACAAACGAACGGCAGCTCCTCACGGAGCCTGCCGTCAAACTGAAAGCAAAAGTAAAATATGTCCGGGCCCGGTGCTCTCTCGGCTTCCTCTGCCTTCGTTCCTCCTTTTATGATCCAGAGCTCCTTCCGTGGGATCCGAGGCAGGTGTATCCACTTACGCGGTGGCCTCACTCCGTTCCCACGGCTCTCGGCCACGCCCCCTCGCCACAAAAGCCTTCAAGTTCAGGGCTTAAACCCAAAAGACGACGATATGATGATCAGTATTTGAGTTTAGGATTTACGTGGACAGGACCAGCTGATGAACCACGACCTTTATGTGTGGTTTGTCAAAATATTTTGGCTAATGACAGCATGAGACCCGCTAAACTTCGACTGTTTTGACTGGGATGAACAGTTCTTGGATCTGTTCTATTCATATTGAACCATCATCCTAGTTTTAAAAACGTTATATTAAAATACAAGTTATTACTCTGTAAATAATTGCACTTTCATGCAAATGATGATAAAAGTGAGTTAACAGTCTGACATCTGTCTGTCTTTATATGTACTGTATATATATATATATATATATATATATATATATATATATATATATATATGTTTGTGTGTGTGTGTGTGTGTGTGTGTGCGTGTGCGTGTGTGCGCGTGTGCATGTTTGGGAGGAGGGGGGCGCCAATGGATAAGTTGTGTCAAAAGGGAGGCCCACTGTCTTAGACTTTGAAAAACCCTGTTCTATGTTAAGCGGCTTTGACACAATTTACATTGTAAAAGCACTAGATAAATAAAGATAATTTGAATCTGCTTAAATGTGTACACGTTAACGGACCAAACATAATATGATCTGATTTATTTGACATTTATTGTGCATCAAAGTTACAGTGTGTGTAGCCAATGTTTCCAGTGTCTTTTCACTTTTCAGCTTTTGATGAGTTTTTAAGACTTAATGAAAACTAATGTTTTATTTATTTCAGACATAATTGAAGAGAATCAGGGGAGTAAAGAGGAACATCATGTCAAAATGTTAGGAAAAAATCATTTACAGACTGATGGTATTTTTAAAAGGAGTGTCAGAAATCGTTTCACCTGCACTCAGTGTGGGAAGAGTTTTGGAAGAAAGGACATTCTTAAGATTCACATGAGGATCCACACTGGAGAGAAACCATTCACATGCACTCAGTGTGGGAAGAGTTTCAGTTCCTCAACACACCTTAATGAACACATAAGGATCCACACAGGAGAGAAACCATTCACATGCACTCAGTGTGCGAAGAGTTTCAACCGCTCAGAACACCTTAATGAACACATGAGGACCCACACTGGAGAGAAACCATTCACATGCATTCAGTGCGGGAAGATTTTTAGCATATCATCATCCCTTAATCGACACATGAGGATCCACACTGGAGAGAAACCATTCACATGCACTCAGTGTGGGAAGAGTTTCAGCCAATCATCATCTCTTAAGGAACACATGAGAATCCACACAGGAGAGAAACCATTCACATGCACTCAGTGTTGGAAGAGTTTCAGCCAATCATCGTGTCTTAAGGAACACATGAGAATCCACACTGGAGAGAAACCATTCACATGCACTCAGTGTGAGAAGAGTTTTACCCGCTCGTCACACCTTAATCGACACATGAGGATTCACACCAGAGAGAAACCATTCACTTGCACATGAGCCGTGGTCACACTGGACTTTTCTCCCCATAGACTTCCTTTCATATGCACGCGAATGTGTCAGACCGGAGACATTTGTGCATCAAGTTTTGCAGTTCACTGCGTTGCAAAGTTCAGGCTTGGTAAACTCTGACCTGCAAAATCACATCCCTTGACTGTGTGAGACCAATTAAAGATCAAAACATGACCTCTCTGGACAGAAATTTAAAATATGGGCCAATCGCTTACTTTTTTAAATGTCTAATCATCTTGTTTGTTCCCACTCCTTTTCGCAACACCGTACAACAGAGTTTCGCAAGCTCAAACTCTAGTGTGACCCTGCTTCAATGTGGGATGAGTTTCAGCAACTCTTCGGACCTTGATAAACACATGAAGACCCACACTGGAGATAAACCATTCACATGCACTTAGTGTGGGAAGAGTTTCGACCGATCAGCAAACCTTAACCAGCAATCCACACTGGTGTGAAAGAGTATATGTGCTTGAGTTTGAGAATACTTTTATTACAGCTCCAAAATCGAAACGGCACCAGACGTTTCACACTGGAGTCACCGTACAAGTGTTCACACTGTGACAAGAGGTTTAATCAGTAACACATCTGAAAACACAAAAGAAGATTCACACTGGATAGAAACCGTACAGATCTGATCACTGTCTACAGAATTGGACAAAAAGTTGCACACATGACATGAATGCAGCAAAACATTTTCTCATGTGCACAGGATGTTTCATGTCTGAATAATGTTTGAAAAGGCTGAGTGACGACAAACTGTTTTCCAACACTCCTACACTGCAGTAGGTGGGGTTGTAAATGTGTTGCGCTCCTCGCGTTTACTGTAAACACATTGACAGCAGCTGAGAGAAGAACAGTTTCATAAACATCTCACAAACAGCACCTCTGTGGCTTAAAATCTCTTTTCAAGTGATTGTACAGGTGCGGATACATCTGTACTTCACTCTCCAGTGTATTCATGTAGCTAGTGTTGTTTTGGATGATGTTCTCTGTCTGACTCCCTGAATGAGTAACATCACTGGAAAGACACCGCACATCAATGAAGGTGGAGCTTCAGGACGGTTAGTTTGCAGTATATCAGGGCCTAAAGTTTAGAAAGCCCATTCAATTGTCCTGTGTTGAATTTTTTAATAGTAAAGTTTCTTTACTTTTAGATTCAAGATTTTTTCTGGTTTACTACATTTACTTTTTTGAGTAGAATACAAACTTGATGAATATTTGATGATTTAGGCAGAGCAACAGGTATTCAGTTTTACAATATTACTACAGTGTGATGATCCCATGACTCCAGGTTGGAGTATGTTGTAAATCCTGATTGTATGCCTGCATTACTCTATAATGGGTATATAAAAGTTGTTGTGCTGGCTACCCAAGGATGCTGAGGTTACTCACGAGTCCTCATGTTAAGACCTGCCATCTTATTGACTCTCTAACCTTATGGTTTTGTTTTGCATTACTTATATCATGTAGTTAAAGTGTTGATGTGATTATATCCTAAGTGCTTTATCTTCATATTATCCCTAGTAATTTGTTGGTTTCTTTGATTGATTGTTCTATGAGTTACATTTTATTATAAATAATTAGCATTCAGGCTATTTTTTTGGCTCATCTCTCTTTTATGTTGCGACTCAAACAAGCGGGTCATAACACTTTGTGAAATGTGTCCAGTTGTATCCGAGAGCTTGTCCTTTAAGTCATGACTATAGTGCGAGACGGAACCTAGACTAAGCAATAAATTGAGAACATTGCCATTCGTCTCAGTTCCTTCACCACAACAGACAATCACATCAACTGCATTACTGCTGCCGCTGCACTGATCCATCTTTAAATCTCACATTCTCCAATGCTCGTGAAAAAAAACACAGATACTTTAACTCCATTTGGGGTAAGGACTCTTCTCCAAACTAAAGATGGCCACCTTTTTCCAGTCAAGCACTATGTTTTTTGACTTAGAGGTGCTCTTTTCCTGCCATGTCACACTCTGCAGCAAACTGTCCCACTGCATGCTGAAGGTCCATGTCCTATGAAGCCAAAAGGGACAAAGTTATCTGCAAATGGCAGAGACAGCTGTACCCTGCACCTAAAATTCTGTCAGTAAAAATAATATTTTTGAGATCAGCTTAAAAAAAACACCATTACAAAATAATAATAAATAGATGGATTGATAGACATTGTAGTGGTGGAAGGGGAAGTAGGATGGCTTGTTCAACAATAAACCAAGATGGAGCTCTCTTAGGAGGGACGGACCTGTGCAGGAGATAACTCATACTGAAGGTGTTATAATGAAATAAATGCTCAGGAAGCCCCAACCCTTTTTTATCAACTGGCTATTGCGATGTACTATGCAACCAAGGGTGCTTATTGTTCCATGAAGTTAATTGACTAAATTATCAAACTGTTTTAAATATTGTAAAGATAAGAAATATTTACAGGGATATACTAAAGTAGAGAAGTAACCTTAGGAAGGCAATTCATTTTGAGTATGATAGTTTGTTATTTTGAGTACCTCAGAGCAGTGGTTCTCAATTCTGGTGCTTGTGCAAAAAGGTTGACAACCGTCCCAAATTAATTTGAGCTCTTATTACTATATCTTAGAATCACACATGAGAAATCCTAAAAGCAGAGATTTGGCTCACCTATAACTGCTAAAGATCAATTTGCACCAGTTCAGCAAGAGACATTTGTTTGAGTTTCCTCGCTGACAGGCCTTAACAAAACACGGCGTTCCTAATTGGTTGGTGACTCCACTTTAGTTACATCCCTGGGATTCACTCGCCGTCTCGGTTGGTGACTGGGGTGACAGACTGAGAGTCAGTTTGCAGAAGTTTTTTTGCGGTTTTGATGGGTCCTAAACTTTAAGACGTTGGGTGGAAAGTTCTTTGCCACCAGATTGCGAGGCGGTGCAGTGTCCAATACCAAGATGAGAGGGGACAGAGAGCAGCAGCGAGCATAAGTGAGCTAATGCAAAAAGCAAAGTTTTATTGTTGCTGTAGGTTTTAAGTGATCTGGTTTGGTTCATCCCAATGGCACTGTCTTCCAATGAGCAGTTGCCATTGTTGAAACTCAATGCAAAGGATGTTGCAGATCTCAAAACCAGTTCGAATCAGACTCGGAAACTGGTTGCCAAATTGTCTGTAGTCATTTAACCAGCTTTGAGGGCTTAAACCACCACAACAACAAAGCACCAATTGATTTTGGGTTCTTCTGACCCGTACTTCTCCGCAGATGTTCTGGTACCCTCCAGCGAAATTAATAAATGACTTAAACCAAACAAAAGGGGCTTTACAGGATTTTCAGCGGGAACCGCCTCATGAGACTTTTGAATGACTCCCGGTCATGCGTTAGTAATATGGTACAATTTCATAGAAACAAAGAAAAACGAAATTGCACGAACTTCCACAAACCAACTCTCAGCAGTCCGTCACCTCGGTAACCCAGGACAACAGCCATTCATGAGCATGTGAATCCTAAAGACGTCAGAAGCGAACCACCACCCAATTAGGACCAATAAGCACCGTGTTTCCTCAAGACCAGCCGGCGAGGGAAACTCAACTTCAGCAAAAAGGGCGCAATCAAAACAAACTAATGTTGTCTCTTGCTGATTGGTGCAGATTGATCGTGAGCAGTTAAAGATAAGACAAATCTCTGCTTTTACCCTTTACCGGAGGTCGTTTGCCACTGCTCCCTATACCACGCTGCTAATGCTAACGCCGGCATTGTTGACTATCGATGGGACGCCACCAACGCAGCTGTTTAAAGGGGACTGTCTGTGTTAATCCCTAGCGTGCCGCTTTGTGCTCCACTCATTATTTCGTTTGTTTATTTGTTTTGGATGTATTTATTTGTGTTAACATTAGTAGTGCTTTGCTTTTGTTTTGTCTTCAATTTATGCAGAGCATTGACTTTGTTTTTGTTATTAAGATATTATTTTTTGTGTGTGTTTATTATTATCATTATTTTGATTGAGTGTCAATTGAAGTCTGGATTTAGTGTAGGTCAAATATTGTAATCACAGCTGTAGCTGTCTCCCAACCAAATCATATGAAGTAGGTTTGTTAACCTGATTGACCCACTTATTGATGTGTTTTTTGGGTTATTTTCATTTTGATTTATTTTAGGAACTGAGGTTTCTCCCGGTGGATGATGGGTATTTTTCCAATTGGTGGTTGTGCTTCGTTACCGTGTGCTGTGGGACATTGAGTGCTTGATAGCGTGATTTGAGTGCACTGTGGTGTGTGCGTGTGCTGGGGTAAAGTCAGTCTACTTGTATTTAGTCAGTGGGAACCTCCAATCCTGTGTTTTGATTGTTTTATTTAATATGAAGTGGGAGTTTCTGCTGTGCTTTTAAGACGAGTAATATTTTACAGTTTTATCCTAAATAAATATCTTTGTACTTTTGCAATTACCCACGTATTTGTGCCTTTTTGAGGGGAAACGAACCTGTGTCGTTTTTTTCTAATAGTTATTTCCCTGGGTAACTCCCAGGCTGGCATAGTCGGTTATTTTTATTCAAAGATATTTCTAACTCTTCTCTATACCCTCGTCACACATACATTCAAACAGACATTCTATAACGACTCTGCTTGCTAAAATTGTGTTTTAGCACAAGCTAAAGCTAGAAGTCTCTACAAACACAAATGCATTACTCAGACGGCATTAAAAGCAACCCTTCATAATGTTTCTTCATCTATTCAACCTTTTTAAAGGCTTCCAATTCATAACGTTTTATAATGAAAAGTGTTTACAACTGTTTTGTAACAAACATTCAAACAGACACTGTTATATACATTGTATATGAACCCAGTCTGCTAAAATGGTGACTTAATCCAAACTTTTTGGTTATAGAAAAGAAAGTGTATATGAAGTGTAATGCGAGAAGAAGAAAAAATCACTTACATTGAAGTTGGTTATTGACCAGATTTTCTCCTTTTCATTAAAAGCAAGCAACAAGTTAAATTTGATTGAGATTTGCACTGTAGTCCTTAAAGTTGAATGAACAACCTGTCATAATATCAGTAAGTCTGAGCATGAGAGAGATAATCCTCTAAACACTATAGAGTTTGTTTTTCAGCTAGTAAACTTTTGCAGAGCATGCTTCGCCACCAATTTTTAAGATCACTTTTTGAAGGATTTCAAATGTATATTTGACCTCCTTGGGATAAGCGATATTCAGGGCGTAAACCCAAACCATCAAGAACAACTTCTTCCTCCAACACAGCCACATCCATTACTTCCTTTTGCAGAAGAGTCGATGTGTTCTCATCTGTTACTATCAATAGTCCAACATTTATTCCTATTACTGCATCTTCCTCACCAGTTGTCTAACAGAAAAAAATAACAACTATGAATTAGAAAAATTTACAAAGCAGTTAAAAATGTATAAATTTTAAACAGACGTGTGCCCACATGAGAATACATGTATGTGAATAACTCAGAATAATTAATGGTAAATGTCTTTTAAAGTGGCAGTTCACCCCAAAATTAAAGTTTACATTTACTCGTCCTCCACTTGTTTTCCCGCTTTTGTATGGTAATTTCCATGTTCTATACTGATATATTCAGTAGTAAATGCCTGAATTCAGGATCATCTCCTAGAATATACATCAAAAGAGGAATCCATCAAGGATGTCCCATCTCACCTTAACTTTTAAATATAGCTGTTGAACATATGTCATTATATAAAAAAAATTTAGAGTACACTATAAGTATTTATATAGTTGATAGGACTTTTACTTTAAGTCAGTTTGCAGATGACACTTTATTCTTTCTTAAAAATAAGGAGGTCCTCCCTTTAAAAAAACCTTTTTTAAAAAAGACTTTTATTTTGGCGTGGCGTGTGACATCATAAGTCTGTGCCGGTCCCGCGCTGTGATTCAACTGGAGAAAGGTTTGTTTTAAAGCGTTTACACTTTTAAACAGATTGATTAAAGTTTCAGTGCTAACTTATGTGCATGCTGTTTACAATATTATTTAACCCTTTATACAACACATAACCCTATACTCACAGTAAGGTCTATTGTTTGAATAAAGATAGGATAAACTTTTTGTCCCAGAGAGGAAATTTGTCTTGTGCAAAAGAAAAGTGCTACACGTTGCTCTAAGCAGACAAAGTAAATAAAACAAACAAAACAATTAAGAACAAACCTGAATAACATTTGAAAAAAGTTACAGAGATATGTGTACTAAGTGTTCTAATGAAGGTTTAATTTATTAAATAGCATAATGTTATTGCATTCTAAGTATACATCACTATATATAAGAATGGAGTTCTAGTCTTTATCAGGTCATTTGTGGCTATTGTTTCTTGCTCGGACTTATCTGATTTCTCTTTTTTAACTGTCATAAAAGGAAACTGTTGAACCAAGTAAGAAGTTATTTTGTTTCTGTTCATTGTTTTGTTCACTTTACACAGGATAAAGTGTCCAAACGCAGAGAAAAACTCCTGCTGAAGCGACTGATCCCCACACTGTTATAAAGATGGCGTTTATTAAAGAGGAGAGTGAAGATGTGAAGATTGAAGAGACATTCCCAGTCAAACATGAAAATCAGGAACAAACAGGTTAATTTTCATTCTCAAAGACCAACTCAGTCATTTGATCCTCATTCAGATATATTTTAATAAGAATACTGAATTAAATCCATCTTGCAGCCCTGAGTGTGCTGCCTAGTTCTCCTAAATGCACATAAGCACTCATTGAAAGACAGAATGAGTTTCTTTCTTGTTACTTGTTCTCATGTATTTTGTCATTATTTTATGTATTATTAGTCTCCCATTTTCTCTACCTTCTTAAGGTTATTGCAAATTATAACCTGTGGAACAATAACTTTTAGCATTGCACTGACTACAACTGGCCCACAAACTAGTCTAAAAATGACTTTTGCTGCTTAAGAAATGGATTACAGCATGCTGATGATATGCAACCAAGTTTATCAGTATTGACCACTATATATATATATATATTTGAATAATTTCTATTTTAAATATCTTCCAAATGATGTTTACAATTTTTTACAATGGCTATGACACTTTTTTCAATACATTTAACAAGTTTGCTAAACTCCTAACGCAGCAACACACCTAAAACACACAATTGGCAAAACAGTTAATTTCATGCTCAAAATCACACATTGTAAACTAAACCTCTAAACTACTTTTCAAAATACAATAATAAACGAACACACTACACCATGTCTAACAAAACACTGCAAACATGTTTCAAAATGAAATTATTATTCAAAACACAAACACATGTTCTCTTCCAACAGAAACATTCAGTCAATCAGAACACACTGACAATAAAAACACTATCATCAGTTAAAATTACAAAAACTGCATTAGTTTATGTGTCAGCTCTGTCCTTATATTTGAAGCCTCTCTGCAGTTTTGTTTTGTTGGGTTTAGTGAATGCATGCATTTTCTTTCTTTTACTGCAAAATTCTATACAAAAATGAAGAAAAAAAAATGCTTTTTAAAATGTACAGTTTATGCAAAAAAAAATACAGACACATAATTGCTGCAGTACAGACTTTATTTGCAAAAAGGATTTCACTGCAGGATAAACAAACAGAAAAAGCACCGCAATTATTATTAAAAAAACCAGTAATCTTCTATTCTGCCCTGTCTTCTGCCACATGTTCTTATCCACATTACACTTGATCTTCTATGGCCCGGCACGGTAACTGTTGCCCTTTGGCCTATTATGTTTCTCCCACAGCGACATCCCCTGCCTTGTCAACAGATAATTTCATGTGGTACTTGAATTACATATACATATATAAATATAACCGCAATAAACTGTTTCTCATTGGCAATGAAATAAAATACAGGGAATATATTTGTGTTTCAATTAACAATTAGAACAGCTGTTCACTTTGACTTTATCCTATATAAGTTCAGTTTAGAACATGATGTTATCTGTTCTGACATACTGTGTTAAAGCATTTGTAAATTTGACAGTAATGTTACATTGTTTTGGTCGTGGTTGTGCGTGTGTGTAAAAGAAGTTCAAGCATTTTAAATGGGTGTTAAGTGGATGCATTTTGTGTCCAAGCAAAAAGAAATGTTTTAATTGTATAGCCCACGAAGACTGATGTTGTGCTTACCGTATTAAGAGTTTAGGAAACTTGTTAAATGTATTGAAAAAAGTGTCATAGCAATTGTAAAAAACTGTAACAGAGCAAGGACATTTTCACAGTATGCCTGATAATATTTTTTCTTCTAAAGAAAGTCTTATTTGTTTTATTTCGTCTAGAATAAATGAAGTTTAAAATTTTTAAACATCATTTTAAGGTAGGGTTGTAACGGTATGAATTTTTCACGGTATGATAATCGTCTAAAACAATACCACGGTTTGACGGTTTCGGGGTATACGGTATGTTACAAATGTTACAAAATAATAGAACAGTGAAGCAAATTTGACTTTTTCCAAATAATATATTTTTAGTTACTATAAACAACACCACTTACAATGAACAAATAAAAATAAGAAAATAATAAATAATGTGTCAAAGTCCAAATAAAGTCCAAATAAACATGGTGCAAATCCTCAGTAAAAAATAGATATAAATATTTACTATACTATAAATAGTTACATAACGAAACTAGATTCAATATGGAACATCCTTAGGTTTTATGTGCCAGCATGGATATGGTTGTCTATGGATATGGATTTGGAAATGGTTGTCTGCAATGCAGACAAACAGCTGCATCTTCATTTGCGTCTTTTGAAAACAGCAAGAGCAGCAGTTCGTCTTTGCTGTGTCACTGTTTTGTCATGTTTCTGTGCTGCTGTGCATGCAAAAGTACTTAGAATGAGAATTATTTCATGCAAAACTTTTTTTTTTTTGGCGTTTTATTTAGCCGCGCATATGTATTGAAGCCGCGCAAATGTATCTCTCATTCCGTGTTGTTCAAAAAGCTTGGTCCACAAACAAAAGCGAAACCTATGCTTATTGGTTGTGATATAGCGAGTTTGAACCAATCTGGGCATGGAGGAGGGATAATGCATCAATGTATCATGTCTGATTTGTCCGGAGACACAGTGACGAGCGTTTCTTTGTCAAATCAGCGTTGTCAAATGTTGATGACGTAACTGCACTGATTCCGGAGCCTCTGAAAGTCCGTTATATGATGTTATGTGATACAGCACTGGAAAGCTGAGATTCTCTTCTTTATGCCAATCTTTGAATTGTATGAATCGGATCAGCGGATCAAAAGTTATTAAACATTTAAGAGCAATACTTATTTTTAGCCGCGGGCGGCTGTCTCGGTCTTTAAGGGTTAAAACCGTTGATATGCAATTGTTCATGGTATGATAATCGTGCACGTTCAAATCGTGGTAAACCGTCATACCGGTATATTGTTACAACCCTATTTTAAGGTCAAAATTATTAGCCCCTTTAAGCTATATTTTTCCTGGTTTGTTTCCTGTCAGAACAAACCATTATTATACAATAACTTGCCTAATTACCCTATCCTGCCTAGTTAACCTAATTAACCTAGTTAAGCCTTTAAATGTCACTTTAAGCTGTATAGAAGTGTCTTGAAAAATATCTAGTAAAATATTATTGATTGTCATCATGGCAAAGATAAAAGAAACCCGTTATTTGATATAAGTTATTAAAACTTTTATGATCAGAAATGTGTTTAAAAAAATCTGCTCTCCGTTAAACAGAAATTAGGGAAAAAATAAACAGGGGGCTAATAATCCAGGGGGTCTAATAATTCAGATTTTAACTGTATTCATATATATATATAGGATTTGCTATAGCCCCTGGGCCCAATAGCTGCGTTTCCTATATCGCGCCTAAAGCGAGCAAGCCAGGGTGAGCCAAGGCCAGTCGCGTTTCCACAGTCACTTCCAAGGCCTTATCGGGCCAAATCGGGGCTTTCTTGGGGCCAGTGGCCGGCCTTTTTCAGCCCGCCGAATACCTTGGGCCAAGGAGGGCCAGCTGGGGCCTCAGAGCGGTGTGAAAGGAGAGTCGGGCAGTTTTCTGATCGCACATGAGTACATGCGCCAAACAAATAAAGAAATAAGGGAAAGAAAACATCTAGCCTTATAGTCTGGGGTCTTTTTGCGTATGATCACCCTTATGTTTTTCTTTTAAATGTAAGGCTGCTGCATAAAATAATAAAGTAGTTTTAATTTATAATGACATTCTTTGCTGTGTCCTTCTTGATGTTTCAATAACGCATAATAATCTTTACACCATATTAAAGACACAGCAGACAGTAAAGGTTTTCGAGAGTTTGTCAAGTTTTAAAGGTGTGTTTGTGCACGTTCAAATGCCAGTATGTGCGTGTGAGACCGAGAAAAAGAGCACTCCCTTCACAGCTCTGTTGATGCCGCAGGCAGCTTTTTTCTTTTTTTTTCTTTTTATTTTGGAGATAATACACAACATGAATACAACAGAAAGACATAAAACTTTATGAATTACGTGCCCACGACACGAAGATAGTGTCATATCTTGATAGAATAGCCTAAGCTATATTGAAATATAATTTAAAGAATTACAAATATCGGATATAATAAAATCGCATTAAATAAATAAACCAATATAAAATAAACAAAAGCTAGCTAGAACAATGTAGGTAGCCTATATACAATACATAAATCAAACCGTTTTAAGGCCACATATAACTTTCATTTTACAAAGACCTGTCTGAAAAAAAAAAAAATGTAGATATTTTCTAAAAACAATAAATATCGTAGAAGGTTTGAAATATTATTTATAAAGTATTTGGATACAATGATATTAAGAGATATGCGTATAGACATTTAATGTACTGCCGTACAGAAACGTGTCATTTGTCTTCATTTTAATGGTTTCGTTTCGTGATGATTCCTTGGTGTGTTTTATCTGCCTGATTCCCGCTGAAGTGGGCGGGTTGTGTGACGTTTGATTCGGGGGACGTTCTAGGGGCGATGTTTGCATGACGCGCTGCAAGCTACTAGCCCGACAGGGGAAACGCGACATGACTTTGGCCTCATTACTCAACCTGACGGGCGATTGGCCCGGCCTGATAAAAGCTCTGGCTCGCACTGGCCCGATAGTGGAGATGGGGCTAATGTGTTCTTAATCTGGCCCTGATTTGAGTGTAAAGTTCGTCAGTATTAAACATGTACTTCACGTACCAGCAGGTGGCGCCATTGAAATCTTTTTGCTTGAGACTTTTTTTAGAGAATGTATTTTTAAATCCTAAAAACAGTGTTATTCTGCTTTGGCATTGGTAGGGCTGTGATGGTCACCGTGACCACAGCGTCACCGCGGTGGTCAGTTGCCACAGCGGTTGTCCATAGCCACCGGTGGTAGCACGTGATGTCACGCACCTTTAAACATAAATTACCGTTATGTTACCTTTATGTTAAGTATTAAATTTCTGTTAGAATATAATATTAGACGCGATACAGCAAGTTCCAAGTTCAACCCTGATTCTTGTTGGAAAACCCAGTCTTACATCTGGGAACATTCTGGATTTTTGCCGACCGAGAAATGTGAACCAATTAATTTGAATTAAGCTTTTTGTAGTTTTTTTGAGTGTTAAAAAGTGTTTTAATATTCACCGCGGAGAGTCCAAACACTGAAGAGCAAATCCATCAATGTGCAGCTCCACAGGTCCCGAACCATGCAAACCAGTGGCGATTGATGGCGGCGAGAGAAAAAAAAGCCACGTAGGCTATAATCAACTCTTTTCTTTTAAACGCAAAAAGCCCAGCTAGTCAGCCAGGTATGGCAGCGGCATTTCCACAAAATGGCCAGATACATGAAGGACATTGACGAGAAATGGAGCAACATAATTAGTAGTTAAGAATGCCCCGCTCCGCAGTGTAGAGATCTGCTAAATATAATAACTTGCGAAAAGGATGCAATAAAAAATGCAAGCTCTTAATCATTCTTCATAATCTGATTCGTACTTGCAATAAACCTATATTGTGCAGAAAAGAACAAGCCCTAAAACAAAGTCTAGAGAGAGAAGAGTAAATATTATGCAATTAATATTAGTGAATATTAATGATCATAAATCATTAATTTATGACACTGTAAACTTGACTTGGCTGGCTGATCATCTTTATACCCAAAAAGGCATTTTTAAGTGTCCTAACTTAAGACTGCTGCTGCATAAGGGGATGTTTCTTATTACAACTTTTAGCGATGTCAAAATGAAAGCAAACTTTAAAAAGGGTTTTGTTTTATTAATTGTATAGCTTATTAGTTTTAAATATAATATAATGTATATATATTTAATATATATAATAACTATAATAAATAATAATAATAATAGTGTAGACTACTGTGCAGTGTCCAACAAAACATTTTATTAGGTTACTCTAATAGACCTAATCCCTGAAAAACGAATGTGAAAATGAAAGGCAGTTGCGTCTGTGCTAAAATGAATTTAAGCCCCAAACCCCTAAATAAATTAAATAAACACCGGTGACTTACCACCGTAGTAGTAAAAAATTGCGTTTTTAAGATATACCGCAGTTTGGAAAAGTCAAGGTTTTAAAACTGCCAATATTTTCTGCTGTACTGTCCCTACGGTATATGCAAGGCTTTTTATTTTATGTTATCAATTTTTTAGGACAACAGTATCTCCAGCACATTGACACTTTTACTGATATGAAAATGCTTTTTGATGCGAAATTAATTGATACAGTTATTCCTTAGGCAGATTTAAAAAAAAAAAATGAGTAGACCTAGTCTACTATAATTAAGCAAATATTCTCTAAATGTAGACCTCAATACATTGATATGCATTGAAATACATGATGAATACTCTTGACGCATGAAAAAGTAAAGCCTGCAGCTCACAACAAATGTGGAAGGTTATTGCGTGTCATATTTAACAAACTGTTTACTGCTAATGTTATGTAATTTAGTTGACATGAATAATTGAATATTAATCAGATGATGTCATTACACTGCTGTGCTGTCAGCCAATCGTTACATTGCTGATCATGATTTAGAGGATCGATAGATCTGTCCTTCACAACACACAAAGATCTCAGATCAGTTCATCCAGACATTTTAATCTGATTCTTGAACTTGTTTGAAGAACCAAATTAGCCAGAGATCAGTTATCAAGATTAAAAGATCCAGGATCTGCCAAATCATCTTAGATCTTTTAAACGAGGCACGAAGAACGGACCCCAGGTCACTGCTACAAATGACAATTTTTGTATGTCGCTGTTTCTCATTGTACTCCTGTTATCCTGAGAGCTGATGCTGAGTATTTTTAGGCATTTTCATACTTGAAATTGTTAATCCTGGGTCATTCTAACCCTAGTTAAACATTCCTGGGTTGTCTCTAGTTACCATCCACATTGCTCATGCTATACCTGGGTGTTAATTACCAGACGTTTCACATTCGCAAACCCCCGGGTTAACATTATTATTTGTATATTTTTGTTGTCACTGTCCCTGATTGGACAAATAGCAGGTAACCTTTTTAGATGGCATTTCTGCATCTTGTCGGGTATATAAAATGTCATAACGTAGGTCTTCATCTAAGCATCAGAACATGCACAAAGCCAAGAAAACAAAGACAAGTACAAGTGAAGTTTGTTTATAAACTTATTTTGAGAGAATCACATGCTTAGGATTGCTTGCGGCTGGTCTCGCACTATTTAATTTAGGATTCACCAATCAGACGATTCCTAAACCACTATAAATACCCTGAGTTCCATATCACAGCCATCTTCGTTTCAAAGAATCCCACCTTCCACCCCTACTTCTTCTCCTTTCCTAGATCGGTGGCACAAAAGCCCTGAGGTTAGCACTGTTGCCTCATAGCAAGAAGGTTACTAGTCCTTACCAAGCCAGCTGACGTTTCTGTGCAGAGTTTACACATTATCCTGGTGCTCACGTGGGTTTCTTCCAGGTTCCCCGGTTTCCTTCCACTGTCCAAAAACATGCAACTTAAGTTACTTGACTAATCCAAATCGGCACCTTAGACATGCTCTTAGTAAGTAGTTATCTCTTAAGAGCAATCACTTTCTGTTTATTAGCTACTAGAGTAGATTAGTTCTCAAGATCTATCCGAGCTTAAACTTCCCTTTCGCCTTGCAAATGGCAGGGAGCCTCAGGCTTGAGGATTGTTAATTGTAAACACTTGGGGCCTTATCATACACCAGGCACAATGTGGCGCAAAGCACGACACAATTGTTATTTGCTACTTTCAGCTTGGCGCAAGGGTCATTTTGAGGTGTTGCGCCACGCTGTTTAAATAGCAAATGCATTTGCGCTCAAATGTACGCCCACAGGCGTTCTGGTCTAAAAAAACAGGCGTGTTTTGGCGCGTTGCTATTTTGAGAAACTGTAAATAGTCTGATCTTTAGACCAGAACAAAGTCTGTCTATTGTCTGGCGAAAAGTGCGCATGGCTTACACACTACACACAAGATGTAGAGCAATACGCAAATATCTTTACATATGAAAAAGATATAATATATTAAGGATTTATATAATAAGGATATATATAGGATATAAATATAAATGATTAAAATATTACAAAACATATTAATTTCTAGCCTACATGAATTTAAAAACCACTGCCTTCATACTTTCTTCATCTCGGGAGGCTTTTTCAGTTCATTCAATTTGCTTTTGTATAATGTTATTAATATTAGCAGTATTATTTATTATATCCATATTTATATTTGTTTTATTTAAAACAAGCTTAGATTTGTCCACCTGTCAGGTTTTAGACCATATGTGGCACAGCATGTGTATTTGGAAATAACTCAGTATTTTGAGCACACTTAATTTTTATTGTTCATTTATTCGTTTGCTGGAAATTAGAACTGAATTTAGAAATCGTTTTGAAACAAATCTTTGCGCTTAACAAACGTAATTAATTATTTATAGGCTAATTGATGTCTGTGCGTTAAGGTTTCCCTATTCAAAAGAGCAAAAGCGAAAGTGAACTTACTTTACGTCATGTAAATAGCAAATGCGCTGATGGCGCGTTGCAACTGGGTCTTAAAGGTAATGGGAGATGAGACTCTGATTGGTTTATTCTCAAAACACACCTATAACTCATTAAGAAAACTCATTAAGATAAACTCAACCCTTTCAGACCATGTGCCATGGCGCAAAGCGGATTTTCCCGTCCTTATATTAGAAAATATAGATTATGACACACCCTAAATGCGTTAGTGCCCTGCGCTTTCCGTTTTGCGCATAGACCGTCAAAATAGAGCTCTTTAAATGAATGAAAACAAGCAGCAAAGTATGTCATCTTGCCATCTCCTCATCACTCCAGTTTACAGCAAACATGACATTAAGCATTTGCATATGTTCATTCATTAATTTTCCTTCGGCTTAGTCCCTTTATTCATTAGGGGTCACCACAGCGGAATGAACAACCAACTTATCCAGCATTTATTTTAAACAGTGGATGCCCTTCCAGCTGCGACCCAGTACTGGGAAACATTTGTTATATAACAGAAGTTAAATACAAGAATGCAAACTCACAAAAATAAGCGTAAGTTATGCATACTTGCCATGAACATGCAGGAATTGTCTCACTCGGGTCTTCCAAGCAAGTTACAAATGTTTAAATCCAGTGGAAGATGCACATGAGGAAACACAACATGAGTAATCTAGAGCAAGTGCATTTGATCATTTACATTTAAAGCCACAGGCACAAAAACAGCTTGGTTTTCCTCTGACCCCAAAATTAAATATTCTTTATTTTGTATAAGGTATATGATCTGATTTTGAGCTGAAACCTCAGACACATTCTGGCAATACCAGACTTATTTTATATCTTGTAAAAAAAGGTTCTTAAAAGGGACTTTAGAGGGATAGTTGACGCAGAAATAAAAATAGCCTCACTATTTACTTTCCCTCATGTGGTTTTAAATCTTTACAAGTTTCTTGATCCTGTTAAACACAAAAGAAGATCTTGTGGAAAAAACGCTGGCTTTCTTTGTATTCCAGAAGAAAGGAAATGTTTAAAACCACAAGACAGAGAGTAAATGGTAAAGTCATTTTCATTTGTAGGTAAAACATCCATTTCATGCTTGTCGCTTTGTGCCTTCATACTAAAGTTCACTTTTTTTTTTTAAGATCTGATGGTGCAGAAAGAAGAGACTCAATGGAATGAAATGGAAGAGAAACAACAAGACTTAACGACTGATGAAAAACCCACACTCACTAAAAAGACTTCATTACGCGGAAGACCTCGGAAATCCAAATCTTTTTTCAGCAGTAAACAGTGTAGAAAAAGTTTCAGTCAAAAGCCAAAGCTTGATGTTCACATGAGGGTTCACACAGGGGAGAAACCTTACACCTGCGAACAGTGTGGAAAGAGTTTTCCTAAAATCCATGGCTTTAAGGCCCACATGAGAATTCACATTGGAGAGAGGCCGTACAAATGCCAACAGTGTGGAAAGAGTTTTAAGCAAAACAGCAACCTTGAAGTTCACATGAGAACTCACAATGAAGGAAGAATTTTTACTTGCACACAGTGTGGAAAAAGTTTTGCTAAAAAACACAACCTTAACATCCACATGAGGATTCACACTGGAGAGAAACCTTACACATGCACAGAATGTGGTCAAAGTTTCCCATATAAAACCACATTCAATATCCACAGGAGAATTCACACTGGAGAGAAACCTTACAGATGCACAGAGTGTGGTAAAAGTTTCACACATAAAAACACACTCAATAACCATAAGAGAATTCACACTGGAGAGAAACCTTACAGATGCACTGAGTGTGGTCAACGTTTCCCATATAAAACCACACTCACTAACCACATGAGAACTCACACTGGAGAGAAGCCGTTTGCATGTGCTCAGTGTGGAAAGAGCTTCAGAGCCAAAGCTAGCCTTATGAATCACACGAATCTTCACACTGGAACCATAGTGTTCACATGTGATCAGTGTGGAAAAAGTCTCACACACAAAGACTCCATTAAGAACCACATGAAGACTCACTCAGGAGAGCGTTTTAGATGCAGTGAGTGTGGAAAGGCCTTTAAACATAAAAGAAGCCTCAGTGTTCACATGAAGCTTCACAATGGAGAGCAGAGTCCTCAACATTGAGGCCTTGTCCACACAAACACGGGTATATTCATAACAGCAGCTTATTCATGTAGTTTGGCTATTCATTCATGTGAGAAATGACGAAATCCTTTCGAGAGGATCACATGCTTATGATTGTCCACGGCTGGTCCTGCATTAGCTAACGCATGATTCACCAATCAGATGAATCCTGATTCAATATAAATAACTAGGGTTTCTTACTTCAGTTATCTTCATCTTGAGGAATCCCCCCACTCTCCCTCCTTTCTAGATTGGGCAACACGGTGGCACAGTGGTTAGCACTGTTGCCTCAAAGCAAGAATGTCACACGTTAAAGTCCCCACTGAACCAGTTGACATTTGTGTGGAGTTTTGTTCATTCACCCGGTTCTCGCGTGGGTTTCCCCCAGGTTCCTTCCACAGTCCAAAATCACATGACCTAGGTAAACTGAACATTCTAAATTGGCACCATAGTCGAGCTCTTAGTAAGTCTTATATCTCCCTTTAGCATTCTCTATATCTGTCATTAGAACAGAAACAAGTCGTTCAAACTCCCCTCTCGCCCTGTTTACGGAAAGGAGCCCAGGGCTCGAGGATCCAATGAGCTTAGAGCTCTCTCGCGGAACAAGTGTGAACTCTTGAACACATATCCAGTTACTGAAAATGAAACCCTTTGAATACCTGAAGATTTAAACTCAACAACTGAAAAGGGGTGAAGATTTTACTGTTTTATAGTGTAGATCAGGGGTCAGATCAGATTGTAGTGTGCATCTGAGTTGCTGCCGCACTGCAAGAATGCAAAATAACTCTATATGTTGATAGATTTTGTGGCTTGTTTCATATGCAAACAAGTATCTGCATCTGAGAAGGTCTGAACCAAATGGTCTACATGAACTCAAGAATTGTGACCCAACCAAAGTAGTTGGGTTATCTCAGAAGGGTTACATCCTTTGTTATAAAGTAGTCTCTCACAGACTGTACTTTGGATTAAGTTACTTGAAGACAGACAAGTTAACATCACTGCTGAGAAACTGCACTATTCTTTGTCTTCAATAAAGTCTTCTCCCCGTAAGAACTTTGGTCAGCTTACTTATTTTATGTATTAGAGTCATCTAATACATTGACGAGCCACCCAAGAATGGTTCAGCCAAATACAGCAAAACCTGCAATGTGTTTCAACTGTATTATGAACCGATATCTATAATTGTGCACAATACACACATTGTGAAACTGCAGGGGTCAACACAATTCTTTCATGTTGTCGCAACACAAATTAAATTAACTTAACACTTTTAACAAATTTATGTAAATTGATCATAAAAAATTAAGTTGTCCCAATGAAATCTCAAGAATTGTTTAATCAAAAATAAAATAAAAATTGATTAATAAAACATTTTAATTAATTAGTTTAAACAAGTAAAAATGTGTGTGTGTGTATATATATGTATATATATATATATATATATATATATATATATATATATATATATATATATATATATATATTAGTGCTGTCAATCGATTAAAAAATTAACTAATTAATCGCACCTTTATGAAAATTAATCTCGATTAATCAAATTTAAAAGACAGAAATTTGTCATTTCCGCTATTCAAATGTAAAATATATGTAAACGCAAGACAAAAACTATTTAAATTCAAAATATAATTTTTTATTAGAATTTTTGTTTAACTTGTTACACAGATTTCATGTAAACAACATATCTATAATTAACCATCAAGATCCTGGCATGACAGGCATATTTATTACAGAAATTAAAACACAGTCATGTTAGTGCCATATGAATTTCAAATCAATCAATGTATTGAATAATAGGAACCATTTTTATTATTTTTTGTCTCTTTTCTTTTAATCAAACAATTATTTGTATTGGTCATGTAAGGGTCATATATTAACTAAACTTCTAATGTTGTGGGTGAGTGCTGTGCATACTAATTAGCATTTTTGCAGAAGTAGATAGATGCGGTTCCAAAATTAAATTCAGCTCTGCAGAAACTTCCTGTCTGAATAGAGGTGTTAAAACTGAACACAGAACACAGAAAGATGTATACTTTGTTGTTGTGCAGAGAATTCGTAGAAAAAGAGGAAGTATGTTGAAGGTGCGGCCAATGGAGGACTGAACAATGACTGACAAGTGACGTTACACCAAAACTCCACCTGTTAAGATCAGTTGTGTACATATGCTGAAGTCAGGAAATGTATGTTAGTTGCAAACCTCTTGAATGTAATTCTTGTATTGCATTGGGGTAACATAACCCAGAGCTCTGTCATCGAATTATTCATTTGTATCTAATAAATTACTAATATTTTTGACATTGAAGAAAAACCTCTCCAGACCTTTTCTTATTGAACACGCATGGAATAGAGATATATATTCCAACAATTTGGTGACCCCGACGTGGAAAAGGGGGAGAGGAAGTTATTGATCTGTCGTATTGCATTGACATCATCGGCGCCGAAAAATAAGGTATGCAGAAAACCTGTTAAATCGAATTTCTGCAATTGGCCTAATCTAAATTGTTTGATGTCATGTAATATGTAGGATTGATGTAGTTAAAAGTATAAGCATTTGAATAATTCGATGAGTTTAAATGTATATATGCTTTAAATGTTAACCAGTCTGTCAGAATAATATGAAGAAAATGATAGGGTTTAGAATAGTATAGAATAGTTTAGAGAAGATTAATAGTTTAGGATAGAGTAGTATAGTGTAGATACAGGAAGGCCAGGATGGGCTGAGACTGTATTGCACAGGAGACCAGATAAAGCTGTGACTGTGCAGCTTCGGGTATTATTACGGTTTCGTCATATGGCATTCACTAAGTAAATCAGAACATAAGTTGATACACTTTGACTGTTTTTGCTTGTTTGGTGGAAGGAAAGATCAGACGAGGTCTGTGCTCCTACACTGAATTGAATAGAATACCATCCTAGGGTGTGCTGTTCAGGTGACTGCTGTCTCTGCGAATACTGTGATTTTATCTGGGCAACGGCATTGACGAATGCTGAATTTTGGGCTATAAGGGCGGGAGTCCGAGGGACGAGCCGACGGGTGGTCCCGAACAGTCTGGGTGCAAGCCCCTACGTTTTAGTAGGTCCAAGCGTTAAAGACAGCTATAGGGTGAGATTGTAAATAAAATTAGGGACAGTTTAATCGCCGAGGTTGTGACTGTGTGTGGATAACTTGCTTCACTGAGGTTGTGACTCTGTAGAAAATACAGAGAAAATAATAATAATAATAATAATTAAACATACATAGAAAAGATTAAACATACATAGAAAAGTCGACTCTGTTGAAGGCGAGTGTAAATATAAGAAGTGATTAAAAATTGAGAATTGTGAAAAGCGCGCATTTTATTTTATGTAAATGTTTGTCTGTTGCGTTAGTGACTAACAGTTGAAATAAGCATAGTGTACAGATATTTAGCCGGCTGTATATAAGCGTATATGATATTCAATTAAATGTCATTTAGAATTGTGAAAGTTCAGTAATTGGCAAAGTGCAAGAAGTTTGCAGGTGAAAATTTGATTGTTGGAGGAGGATAAATATTTTTTGATTGTGTATGTGCAGTAAATGCAACATACAGAAGTTCATTAGTGTGTGTGAAAAACACTGTAAATTTGAGGAAGTGGAGGTGTGAAAAATGCATAAGTAATTCGATTAAGAATGTGAGCAATATGGAAAATGTCCCAGACAAAATTAAAAACTCAATGGGACAAGTGGTAAATGATTGGAACTAAGAAGAAAAATGTGGTAAAGTAATGAGAAACAATATATGAGAAGCTTAAATGTGAAAATTGTGTAAAATATGTGAGTAGAGCAATGATTGAACAGTAAAATTGGTTACAATTTTGAGAAACAGAGAATTTGAGTTTTACAAAGTTAATAACATAGCAAAAGGGGGCCATAACGATGTTGTGGTAGTAAGAAATGGAAAAAATTTGTTGGAATTTGTAATGTGGCATGATTTTGGCATTTGTTGGAACGGCTGTAGAAAGACAGATGAGGGGAGAAAAAAGAGGAAGTGCTCAGGCAGACAGTCTTAGACAGACTGACAACAAAAAGGAAGTCAGAAAAAAGGAGCCACTCCTCTTCATGAGGAAGAAGCAGTTGTAGTAGGGGCAGAAGGAGTAAATCATATTAAAAGAGTATATAAAATTGTTTTGATTAAATAATGATAGACTTTGATATAATAATTAGGGATTCAGTATAAGTTACAAAATAAACAGATCTATCTAAATGCGGTATAAAAAAGACAAGTGAAATAAAGAAATAATGGGAAATATTCTTAATATAGTTATATTTGTTGAAATGGAACTTGAAGCTATACGAATGAATATATTAATAAAGAAATTAATTTACTAAATAAAGGAGGATGATTAAAACTTAGTTTGTTAATTAGAGAAATAAGAAAAAATAAATAAATGATACTAATAGGAAATGATAGAGAGAAAATAAAATACAACATAAAGACCAGCTACTAAAGAAACATTAGAATAAATACATTAGAGGAAAAATAAGGAAAATGACCTCGAGATGAGCTGTTAAAGAGCAAAGAGATAAAATTGGCATAAGTCTCTGGTCGATGAAGAGAAAAATTAGAAGAAAATGTGACAGTTTAAAATTTATCAACTGACGAGTTAATGAGCAAATATGTAAGGAAGATAAAAATATGGATAAGAAAAACTTAAAAGCTTAGAATTAAAGAAATCCAAGTCATGGTTTGATAGAAAAAAGAAGAAGATATGTTTAAAATATATTGAAATATGTTTGAAAAATATTATATACATAGAGAGAGAGAAAGACAGAGACATTAAACCGATGAGATAGAAACTAGAAAAATAGTTGGACTTGTAACACTTTGGGGGAGTAACACTTTGAGGAACTGAGATTTCATGTGAGAGGACAAGACTGAGTTTAGGAGCAAAAACCAAATAGAATAATAATATTAGTAATAATAATGATTTTTAAAAAAATGTTATGGCTTACACTGGCTGTTTTCATCTATGAAAGTCAGCTGCATAAGACTATCTAAGCCATCATCTAGGGTCAAAGAAAAATCATGGACACTTAGTGGATGTTGATGAACAAGATGAAGTGAGTTAAAATTTTCTATATTTAAAATGATAAACACCAAGAAAGAAATTGATAATTAAACATTGCATTTCAGATATAAAAAACATATTAAACAAATATGTGGGGTCAAGGCCTAATATGAACCCTGAGATATAGCAATAATGTTGAACAATTATACCACATGGTAGGCCATGTCATAATTTGTATTTTATGAATAATAACCCAACTGTGTCTTGTTTTTTAGTCTCCACCATCATAGTGCCCTACAGCTTTGCCTGCAGACTAAGCAGACCATAGTGCTGAGTGGATGGGAGTGAAGATGCCAAACTTTACTTAAAACTATTATTGTAGGTCAAATTGATTTTAAACTTAATAAAACCTGTCTCATTGGTTAAACTCTAGAATGTGGTCACAATGGCTCACATGGTTCTTGAGTGCATGTTTCCCTAACATCAGAGATACCAAGTTCTGAAGGAAAACTGAGAAGGAGGTTGCAGTTGAGAAGAGCAGTAACTGGTCTCCATGAGACATTATTCCAAAGACGGGTAAGACTCTCGTTGGCCAGCGGGAGCGACCTAAGCCAGGAATTTCGTTGCGGAAGACTAGGCACCTGTACAGGTAGGCAGGTGTTGAGTGAGATGGTTGTAGAGTGGAGCAGTGATGCTTGAAAGGCCTAGAGCATCCGAGTATTGAGGGGCACTGTGAAAGATCAGTGGTCTGCCTCAGAAATGTGGGCTCCTCCAAACCGGACCACAGCGAACTGCTAAATATGTCTGGAGATCAGACACTCAGGAAAAGGAACTTGTGGGTAAAGTAAGAGGCAGGGTGCTGTCAAGAACCATTTGAGACCATATGATGACTGGTAATATGAAGGAGACAGAATTTATTAAGGTTTTGTTATGAAAATAATAACTAAGAAAAAGGCTTAGAGGAAAATATACAATGAATCTCTAAATGTATAATGTTTATATAATATTTAACTATTTTTGCAAATTTTCATAGGTTTACTGATACAGGGCATGAACAGGATATAGGAGGAAGTACAATGTATAAATTTT